GGGGGCCTGGAGATGTGTCATTCATAGGATCGCCATGGGTCGAAACCAACGCGAAGGCAGTTAACAGCAACAGCAACTGCAGCCATAAGGTTGTGAGTTTGATCTCAGGGCTCCAAGGTTGACTTTGCCTCCCCAGTTTGTCATGGTTGCCCACCCCATGCCACACAAGTTTTGCCCTTCCCCTGTTCCCTGCCATACCTGCTATTGGCTGTCTGCTCTGCCTTTATGATTCTTGTTAATTGTTTAATTGTTTGTTGTTTCTTGCTGTTTTAATTTTATGATGTTTAATACTGTTTTAAGGGGTGGGAGGGTTTTGGGATTGTACATCTGTGATGTTTTATTAATGTAAGCCGCCCCGATTGCATCTGCAGAGGGGCGGGATACAAATAAATAAATAAATAAATAGGTCTTGGGGATCCAAAGTTATGTGTTGTCCATATTCTGATATTGCTCAACTCTGTTTCTCCAGGCTATCCCAGCCTAGTAAAACTGTGTACATACTGGATCAGCACCTGCTAAAAATGGAAGGACATTCAATCATTCTCATGGTCAGTGACTGAATCCTGGAGTTTCCAGTTAAACTGATCAGTCCATGCTGCCCAGTTGACTGATGGCACCATGGTTAAGGGGGAAAAACTCCTGAAAGGTCTTGTTAGGTCTGGGTCAGCATTTGTAACTGTGTACCTGTTCTATTTCTTTTGCAAGCAATGCTCTCTCAATCTTCCGTTCTGCTTGCTTCCAGGATCAGAGGCTGCCTTTGAAATGTCACATGGCATCTCATGCAATAGTTGGCATTTCCTTGCACCTGAAAATAAAGTAACCTCCCCCCCCCCCCCCCCCAGCAAAGTTCATCTGGGAATGAGGGAGAGAAACAAATCAAGGAGCTGATTTCCCGTCAAGCACCAAATTAAATCATTTTGGCAAGAGCTAAAAATATCCCCTCAATGCCATGGCTCATCACAGAAGTAAAAAGCAAACCTGCTTCTCAAACTGGCAGGGGGGAGAGATAGGAGAAAATGGATAGCAGTTGGGTGCAGCGGCAACTTACAGAATGGTTGAAGACAACTTTGAAACACTTCTTGGAGATGAAAGGTGATATGGGTTCAGAGACAAGAACTAACTAGATAAAAATCAACCTAGTTGCCAGTTAAGTTGGAATTTTCTAATGAAAATGTAATTAAATTGAATATTGGGATAGAATCATAGAGTTGGAAAAGAACCAAAGTCTTCTTCTCCAACACCTTGCCATGTAGGAATAAACAATCCAAGCACTCCTGACAGATGGCTTTCCAGCCTTTGTTTAAAAACCTCCAGAGAAGGAGACTCCATCACTCTCTGTGTCGAACTGCTCTTACTATTAAGAAATTCTTCCTAATCTTTAAGTGGAATCTCTTTCTGTAGCTTTGCTCTGTGTCCCAGCAGAAAAGAAGTGTGCTCCCTCCTCAATATGACATCCTGTCAAATATCTAAACATGGCTATCATGTCACCTCTTAACCTTTTCTTGTCTGGGCTACACTTATCCAAAGTCACTCCTTGTAGGGCTTTATGGTTTCCAGACCTTTCATTATTTTGGTTATCCTCCTCTGGACATGCATCAACTTGTCAATATCCCTCTTGAAATGTGGTGCGCAAAACTGTACACAGTACACAGATAATGTCATTGACTTAAATTGTACTCTCAGTATTAACAATTTCAGAATTTACTAATTAATTCTACAAGAGACTGTGCTAAAGAAGCAATAAATTTTACTAGAGAACTTAGGTATCCTGGATTTTTCTGTAAAACCACTTCTCACTTTTTATTAGTCTTGGGGAAGTACAGTGATCAGGCCACAAGATCCTAACCACTTATTTTAATTAATGATGAGTACAGGTTAGCTAATTCTTGGTTTAAAGCTTTTAAACCAAGTAGAAAGAGCAGGTTGGAAGAGGGTGATCTTCTCTGCATTCAAATAATAGAGCTCCTGTGTTCTATACCAGACTTTAGCTAGGATCCATGCAAGCTACATAAAGGGTGATAGTAAGGAGATTAGGTTGATAGCCAGTGTGGTATAGTGGTTTGAGTGTTGGTCTACAACTCTGGAGGTCAGGGTTCAATTACCTGCTCAGCCACAGAAAACCACAAGGTGACCTCAGGTAAGTCACATACTCTCAGCCCTAGAAAACCCCATCATAGGTTCATTGTAGGGTCCACTTGAAGGCACAAACAACAACAAAAAACAGATTAGATTAGGGCTGGAGAAAGGGAAAGCACGTGAAGTATTCCTGGTAGGGTGGATGAGAAACGGGGTTTTCCAAAATTCATGTTGCTGTTTCCCTCTTTCCCAAGCTCAAAACAGTGACAAGCAGGCAGGAGTAAAATCATGGATGGCATTTTGCAGTTTCGTTCTGATAAGGTTTTTAGTGCAAGGATTTATATGTAAATGGCAATTTAACTTAAGCTGAAGAGTTAAGTTCCCCTCCTTTCTAAAGCAAATGCTGTTGAATTAGATTTTGTGGGGTTTATTAATGATTAAATGTGTTAAATGTTTTCTACTAACTGTCCAATCTCTGCATGGGCTGTTGCTTTCTTGGTAGTTGATGGGGGAATTGGTGAACATCAAACACTCCTCTGAAAGTACTGGCTGTGTAATATGCTTCAGTGCTTCAATCTTTAATGCACCACCCCCTCAGTAAGGAAGAAGTTTTCCACACTGATGAAAATATGTAGGTCAAAGTACTAGCTGTAATGTCCTCATGTTATGCTATCTTCTTGGCAGGTTTGGCCCTACTGTTAGGAGAAGCCTCACAGTGGGGAAGCCATCTCAGGCTGTAATTTTGGGGTGTCATGAAGATTTGGGGTGTCATCAGCGGTGTGGGCAGCAATGCTTTTAGGATGTTCTATCTCACGTGCTAAAAATAAATTGATTGAGCAATATATGCCTTTGTCTAGTACGGTGATTTTCAAACTTTGGACCTCCAGATGTTTTGGACTTCAGTTGTCAGAATTCCTGACAGTTGGCCAAACTGGCTGGGGCTTCTGGGAGATGAAGTCTAAAACATCAGGAGGACCAAAGTTTGGCAACCACTGGTCTAGTGTGTGTGCTGGCTCACCTCAGGAAGCAAAGCTATCTTGGCCTGGCCATTGATCTTTGTAATGTGTTGTCTATGTGTAGAGTATTGTTGTGTGTGTCCTGAAATCATGCACAGATTCATGAAGGTGAAGCACAAAAGTTCTCTGAGAATTCTGAAAATACAAGTCCTGGGGATTCCATAGGATACAGTCATGGTGGTTAAAGTGGAATCATAGTGTTATAATGATGTAGTATGAGTGGGTCCAAGGAGGGCCAGAATGAGCCACCTTCCTGTTATAGCCTCAGTGGCTAAGGACCATGTTATCTAAAGTATCACCTTCTCTTTAATTTATTGTTGTGTGCCTTCAAGTCATTTCTCACTTCTGGTGACACTGGGAGCCTTATCGCCTGACAAAAGAAAGCCAAGACGCAGCGAGAGAGAAGTGGCTTTCTCTGTGCTTCTTTACATGCTGTCATAGCACTTCCATTTTCTTCCCGAGGGAGACAGTCATGAAAGCGTTTCTTTTGTCAATTGAATTTTTCCAGCATGACAAAAGACACCCTTATATGACCATCTCCCCCAGGAAAAGAACAGAAGTACTTTGATGGTATTCAGGGAGGCAAGGAGAATGCCACTTATCTCTTGCCGTGAGTTTCTTTTGTCAGGTGATAAGGCTCTAAGGCAGGGGTAGGCAACCTTTCCCCTTTAAGGGCTGAGGGACTTCAGCTCCCAGAAGCCTCAGCTATGTTGGCTAATAGTCCCATGTTGGCCAATAGCTCCTGGGATTCTGGGAGCTGAAGTCCCTTGGCCATTAAAGGGGAAAGGTTGCCTACCCCTGCTCTAAGGGGTTCCTATCATTGGGTTTTCTGGAACTGAGAGTGTATGACTGGACCAAGGTCACCCAGTGAGTTTCCGTGGCTGAGTAGGAAATCGAACCCTGATCCCCAGAGTCCGACACACAAATCACTACACCAAGCTGGCTCTCCTTTAGTGTGTACACTTAAAACATTTTAAGACAGGAGTGGGAAACCTCTGGCCTTCCAGATGTTGGAAGTGGCACCTTCTCCATTTATTGACCTCCAGGAAGTGATGTCATGCCACTTCCTGTTCAGTTGGGGCATGTCCCTATGTCCTGTGGGAAGGGTACAAGGATAGAATTTAGCCCCTGTACTCAATACGGTTACCCACTCTTTACTTAGGGAGTGGAAAATGAGACAGGAGAACTCAACCCAACAAGCTGAATTACCATTTCTGGAAACGTGGTTTTGTATATTAGCTTTACCAAACGAAAGGGATTTCTCATTATAGAAATAGTAGCAGAAGCCAAAGTCATAGAAGCATAGAAAGGAACCCCTGGTCCATTTGGGACTCTTGAAACTTGTCTTCCCCCAGATAAGGAAAACTGCAAGGTACGATATTGTAACCGTGTAATGTAGTGGTTCTTATCCTATTCTGGATTGCAGAGCCCTATGAAAATCTGATATAAGCTGGTGTGTGTGTGTGTGGGGGGGGGAATTGATCAATTTACAGGAATGAAATTGAAAGAGTAAAAAAATAATTTTTGGCATTGGTTCACTGAAGCCCATCTCTGGTCTAATATAAGAATCCCTTGTCTAGTATATCAGCATGTGGATACAGAGCTCTGTCTGTACTGCAGAACACAAAAAAGTTTCCTTTTGGACTACAACTCCCAGAATCCCCTAGCCAGAAGCATGCTGTTGGCTGGGGGATTCTGGGAGTAGTAGTCCCCCTCCCAAAAAAAGAGGAATGTTGTCCATGCACAACTACAGACACAACATAGTACATGTGGCTGGAACATCTCAGGATTTGCTGCCTTTCCTTCGCCTGAAGACGGTTTCCAGGAAACCCATCGCTCTGCTCGTGTACACAAGCCTAGAGCTGATGATAGGCTGGAGGTGTTGTGTTGTCACTTTTTGGACCCAGAAACCTACTTTTCCTCTTTCTAAGTAGGTTATGTTTACATTTGCTTGCTTTTTCCCTTTTTTGTCCTCCCATCTGCTGCAGAGCTCTTTTGCTTCACCTCAAAAGGGAGGGATATGAAAAGAAATTGACTTAGTAGGTTTTTCAGCCTATTCAATGAGAGACTGTGCTAAAGACCCAATAAATTTTGCTGATGAACTAGATACTTAATTCTCTTGGGTTTATGCCTTAGTAGGTTTTCTGTTGGTCCCTCCTGTGCCAAAGCCTTCCTCTGCTATCTATCCAAATTCTTGTAAGTTCGTCCTGCATTTTTGACAAGATCACAACTTCTGCGCAGTCTCTGAACCATGCGTGCATATGTGTTGTGTGCCTTCAAGTTGTTTCCGACTTATGGCGACCCTAAGACTGGGATTTTCTTGGCAAGTTTCTTTAGAGGGGGTTTGCCACTGACATCCTCTGAAGCTGAGAGAGCATGGGTTTACATGGCTGAGCTGGGATTCAAACCCAGATTTCCAGAGTCAGTACTGCAGTCACAAGGTTGTGAGTTCGATCCCAGGGCTCCAAGGT